GCCCTCTGCTCCGAAGTCTGCTGGCACGCTGCCATCTGCAGACGTCTCAGAAGACAAGCAAAAGCAGAAGCATGATCTGATGGAGTGTGTTGGGAAGGTTTATGTGCAAGACAATGAGGCGGGGATATGATGTTTTTGTTTCTTTGTTGAGTTCATGGTGGGCGCCCTCCCAGTGTTTAGCAGGGTAGGAATGGGCCATACGGATGAGGCGGTGCAGGATCCCAATGTAGGCTTTATACAGGCTACGGGTTAGCAACGGTTCCTTTTTATCGTATGCGTATCTCTCACGCTATCCCCTCTTCAAACATCAGCCTACATAAAGATTTCAGGGTATGAGACTTGTAAAACCAAATTGGCAGGCAGCCATCATCCCCGACACCTACCTGGAGCGTCAAAGTCTCTACGCCTACTTCAAAAGGCAGGTCCGTACTTGATACCTATTTGCAATGCTTTTGCTCGCGTGCCTACAGGCAAGTCAAGGCTGGCGCAGACGAAGTTCCAGAGGATATCCAGGTGATGTGGCACAAAGCTGTTGCAACGAATTGCAAGTCTGCAAAGACTACGCTTTTCAACAAATGGCTTCTTTGTGGTGGTGACTACTCGAAGCCGCTAGTGCATCAATTTACTATACCTCCATCAGGCCTTTTTTGAATAATTTCGTCTGGGCTTACTGAAGCCAAGGCTCAAGATCCACCGCGTCCGCTCTCGGGCAGATGTTGGAGTCGGCCGGACAAGGATGGGTGCCTGGGCTGCTATGAGCTGTTGTCAGCACGTAAAACCTTTGCTATTCTTTATTTCACGTCTGCCAAGGATGGAAAACAAGATCACAAATGATGGATATGCATGGCCAGAACGCCGAGCTGGTTGATAATATCATAGCCTCGAAAGTCGGTTTGGGACAGGTGCGCCCACACCCGGACGCACCGCAAGATCACAGTGCCATGATGTACTATGTGGCCGCCTTGCAATGGAGCCTCTGTTCTTGCTTTGTTCGGTTGTCCTCAGGGTTTCAGGGACGGTGTTGGGAATCATGCTTAAAATGGCTATAATAAGGTGCTTGTCAACTTGGACCACGCTGATGAACACATTACAAGAGATGAAATCCAAGTTGATGAACGTGTGGACCTGCAGGTGGGCAGTGAGGCGTGCGACCAATTTCCTATAGCCTTGTTTTTTGTGTCCGTGTGTGTGTGTGTGCCCTCCTGATTGCTTCCCCACGTGTAGCTCCTCTTTTCTCCCTCCAGGCACACAAGGCCTTAGTCGCAACTGGCGCGATGAAAAACATGACGACCAACACGGCCAACAAGCCAGGCCATGCGAATATGACAGCAGCTGCTGGAACTGCAGGCTGCTTGGGATTGGCAAGCGGCAGCAGCACGGATGTTCCGGGCAAGGGAAAGGGCAAAGGCAAGGGCAAAGGCAAGGGTGCGGATAACATTCCCCACTATCAGAAGGAGCCCAAGAAACCAAAGAAATTGTACCCTTCATCAACAGCCATACTTTTTTGGTGTACCTGTATTGCATGAGCAAAGGCTATGAATTTGTTTACACATGTTCGCTGAAACTGAGGGAGACGGTGCCCGAAGACCCGACGGAGGCTGTGCAGTTCACGCTGAACAAAGTGATCCGGGCAGTGGGCGATGCCAAGCTTCTTACTGTGCGGCTTCAGGGTATGAAGCATCAGGAGTCCCTATGCTACTTACCGCAATAGGTCAGCTCAGTTTTGTCACTGATGCAAGAAAGTCACCATTCAGCACATGTAAACTTAGGCAAGACAATCATGGGTCACATCGATGAGCTGAATCTCAGCTTTGCAAATCTGACGAAGGTGTCTGCGTGCAAGGACGCCCTGACAGTCGCAACCATGTTTCTCTACCCTGTATTCCAATCAACCCTATCTAATAAACCCTGCCCTACACAAAACCCTATGACCCATTCTAGAGGATGCCCCAGACGAGCAGCGAATTGCAGCCGTCACGCTGGCGCAGCAGCGCCTCGATCTCTGCAGCGAGGACAAGGTTGATGCTGCCAGGGTGGCGCCGAAGCTGAAGAAGAAGAAGGACAGACAAGGATTATATTATCAGCCCTTGTAGTTGGAATCACTTTCTACGCAAAGTCTACATGGTTGTTTCCCAAAACAGGGTGACCCCAATCTGGCTGTAAATTACAGTTCATATATATAATACTTCTTACGTCGGATTCCTATGGGGACCTTCAACCGAGACCCCCATATACGGTCCATGAGGCTGATTGTTGGGGATTTCGGATTGATTTTGCTCTGGAATGCTGTGATGGTTCCTGTACCCTGCGGGCCCAAGTAGGTATGTGTTTTCAATCAGATTTCTCTAGAAATCCCCAACAAGTATTATGTGTTGCAACATGAGAAAGAATCGGACTTCCCGGCTAAGGGTATGTGAGCTGTGTATAGTTTGTATAAATTCCCTTAGAAATTTGTGTTATGTCGGGCACTATATAGGGGAATAGTGTAGGGGCATATATA